GGCATAATTTTAAACCCACTCCAACTTGGGTTGGGTTCTACTCCGGAGTGCTCCGGAGTAAGCTACTCCATTAACAATCCTAACTGATGCAGATCACTAAAGTAGTAACTAACCTATCATTAACCCTTTTCATAAAATTTTTAGTTTGTAAGGTGCCAGGCTTAAACGACCCAATTATAGGAGTACAGTTATTATCGTTACTTTCTCGGCGTAATTTCCAAATCCGGTGTTTGTTTTCGCGTTTTCCTTTATAAAGACGCACTATTTTTTTTTAATTCAAGATCTAGAGCTAGTATCAATGTTGATATCAAACAAAATTTTTTGCTAGGTTGTTTGAATGTTGATACAGTACCAACATTGATATAAATATTTTATATTCGGGCACTGCATGACAACTGGTTTTATTTTGTAAAGGATTTAAGATCAGACCAGGACCGAAGGAATTCAATTCCTTATGTTGAACTTAAATCTTTTGACCAAATAAATTTTATAAGGAATACTAACATGACCGTTAATGAATTTATCTGGCAATTTATTCATAGCAGTCTACCGGATGACTATAATGAAATTGAGTTCAATATAAAATCTTTCCATTATGATTAATTCATATTAATTTATTAACAGAGCTCCCGATATAGATATCTGCATTATCGGGTGGCTTTTATTTGGTTTTACGATTCATTGTTTTTATGTCGTTGCAGATCAAACAGCCAAAATTAGTCGTGATGCAAAATTTTCTTCGTATCAAGTTTTTTTTTAATCCGGGTAGACTTCGCAAGCATTATAAAAAACAGTAAGCTACTTATTATCATGTATTATTAACGGTAATTTTTGGGATATTTCTACTAAATACTATTCCCGTGAATTTTGAGTTAATTAAGAATTTCTGCTAACACCATATTGGAATAATATTAAAATGTTGAAACAATTTTTTATATTCGTGGAAAAGTTATTCTATAAGCGTTAATTCACGTTTTCTATCCTTAGCATATATGTCTTTGTATTTATTCCAAATTTCATACAATCTCGCAATGTATTTTCTCTGTACTTCAAGTACCTCCTCCTCCGTAGGGTTATCATTTTGTACAACATCAATAGGTTTTCCCACTATTTCAAAAGAAAGGGTTAATATTATTGCTCACTATGACAAAATGACCAAACTTTAAACATACCAATTGTAGTGATTTGTCTTCTATGAGGTAACATACCAAAATCATCTAGAAACAAAAATTAATATCTAACTTATAATAATAAGGAAATCAATACTCATAAAGTCATTCAAATAACTTTAAATAACTTACAATTGAATATACCACGACCATGAAATAATGGCAATGTCCAACCAGAGATGTTTTGCAAAAATTTTTTGGAATTTCCAAACTTTGCTTCCTTCAGGATTGTATGAACATTTTGCGCAAGGGTCCTGGACACTCTATTATGATTGTTATCGGTGGCGCTGGTGAGAGTTTAACAA